CCTTAAAAAATAAATCAAAATCAGAAATAACTTTTTTAAACTGATTAAATGAAAAACAGGGAACCCCAAAGGTCTCCTCACGTAATTTTGACAAAAAAGTACAAACAGCGATAATATGAAACGCATCCAATGGCGAGTCAGCCACACCACATACGCAACTGTCTCTTCTGTAATTACATAAAAAACTTAATGAATTACACCTTATTTGCATTAATACAGCCATAACATTAGATGAAAAATTACTATTATAAATAAAACAATCAAAAAAGGGTTTGTTCAGACTCTTATACCACTCACAGTAAGAACTTAATAATATACCATGATTCAACTTCGAAATATAATTATCAAAATTATTTAACTTTAATAAATAAACACTATTAACATCTTGTAACAAATTATCAAAATTGATTCCGTTCCTTGCACAATTAGCCAACCAATACTTCGACCAAGGTAACTCAGCTTGTTTCAAAATAAAACTCAAACAAATTTTACTAAGACGTTTATCATTTAAACTCAACGTTCTAAAAATCCAATTAACATATCTGTTCAAGATCAAACAAGATAAAGGAATCAATGAACACTCCATAGACACTAAATAACCAGGAGTGCACCTTGGAAGCCCATACATTCTCTTAATAAAAGTAACTAATACTGTATTCAAGCTTTCCGCCTGAAAACCCCACACCTCGGAAGCATAAAGAAGAGATGAACCCACCACAGCATTAAATAACCTTAACCGATCCTTCAAATTACACAACTTTGCAGACTGACACATTTGAATAACTTTGTCCATTTTTATCTCTGCATTAACTTTACAGGACCTCACATGGGTATTAAAATAACCATTACTTTTAAAAATTACACCTAAATACTTATATTGTGATACAACCGAAATTGGAGCATTTCGAAACCACCACTTATCAGCCTTAGAAACCTTACCACCATTTCGAAAGACCACAATTTTAGATTTTGCAAGATTCAATTGTAAACTATTATCCTTTAAATATTTATCCAAAAGGTCAATCGACCTCTGCAATGACCTCGGAGAATCCGCCACAATTACCACGTCATCCGCATACGCTAATATCTTAACAGAAACACCACCAACAACTATACCATCTCCACCGGAGTCATCAATACAATTCAATAAATCATT